GTCCTGTGAGCAAATAATGATTATTACATTTTAAAAAGGTTCTTGAAGAATAAAAGGGAGGAGATAATAGAGGAGGAAGAGGAGCTTCAGAAACTGCATTTGGCTGACAGCAACTAAAATATTTAAAATCTAGAAAATGTTTGCCAAAACCTGAAATAAAGCATCTGACTGGAGTAGGTACTCGATAAAATTGAAAACAGGAATACAAGAGTAATTTAGTTGCTGAAAAAAATGTGAAGTAATAGATACCGAGAAACATCTATGGCTTCATCCTCAACCTTCATTTCCATTGAGATAATGAAAACTGCAGTTTGGTTTTCTAAACAGACAACCAAAAGGCACCGTCTTACATGAAAAAGTCATAAATAAAATTTATATAGTAACAAAAAATAATATCAAACATTTTCACAGAACTTAGCATATCTATATTGATTATGGAATTTAATCTTCCAGTCAATTCCTGGGATAGCTATTCTTTCCCCATACAGAAATTACCATATCCTAAATCCTTAGTGATCGATTCCTCAAGAAAAGTTAACATCTTGAATGCTGCATCTGTTAATACTAAGGGTAGTTTTCTCCTATGGGAAGGTTGGCTTCTAGAATGAACAGGAACTTTCAGTTCAAGGTGATAGACATATGTTTACTTTGTGTTCCTCCTGAAATTGTACTTAAACAAAAGTATACAAATACCAAAATTTAGTAGACCAATGAAAGCCAAGAGATTGTGGAAGTCATCACCAACAGAAAGGTTTTGATACATTTCTGAAAAACAAAAACTTAACTGGAGGGGAAATAGATCAAACAATCAAGAAAAGGCTATCTAAGAAGGAGCTGCACAAAGTCAGTCTGTCCTTACTGAGCCGTGGTTATAGTAAAGGGCACAAGAGTGTGGGCAAATGTGAACCTGAAAGAGCCAATCCTTCTAAATGAATCCTGTCTTGCTAACTGGGCCTAAATTTAAAATAGAGCCAACCAGTCATTTGCTGACTAGAGTTTATACAGATAACTTTGAGTTCCCCCCAAATCCACACCTCCCCACCTTTTTAAAGTTTCAGAGCTCAACTGAACCAGCAAATTAGAGCTCACCTGACTCAGATAGTGTGGGCTCAGTCTTTCTCTTTCTCTTTCTTTTTTTTTTTTTTTTTTTGAGACAGAGCCTTACTCTGTCTCCCAGGCTGGAGTGCAGTGGCGTAATCTCGGCTCACTGCAACCTCCACTGCCTTACCCTCTGAAGTATCTGGAATTACAGGCATGCATCACCACGCCCAGTTAATTTTTTATTTTATTATTATTACTATATTGTAGTTTTTAGTAGAAACAGGGTTTCACTGTGTTGGCCAGGCTGCTCTCAAATTCTTGACCTCAGGTAATCCTCCAGCCTTGGCTTCCCAAACTGCCAGGATTACAGGTGTGAGCCACTGCACTGGGCCAGTTTCAAACCTTCATTTGTCTAAAGAATCTTATTTGGGAACCTGGTCAGGGAACTTTTGCTGTAAAACCCAAGTCTTCCCTTTGTTTTCAGGAATCCACCTTTGTTTTGTGCCTGAAGATGTAGTTTGCAAACCATTCACTAGAATAAAGTTCCTCCAAATTCTTTTTCCAGAGTACTTTTCTTCATAAGAGAGAATAGGAGACCAAAATTATTTTAGGGAAAAAGTTTATTAAATGAGGTTCATGCGTCAGTAAACTCGAGGATTCACTGTGTCCTCCCACTAACTCTGTATTACTTACAGTGGATTGTTAGTGAGAGTGTTCAACCACAGGGTTTCAGGTATGGTTTATTGTCACTACCTCAATTCTATACAAAACTGGCCACCCAGCAATTCATTTGATGTGACTGGAGGGCGCTTTAAAAATTGTCAGAGGGGTCGGGCGTGGTGGCTCACGCCTGTAATCCCAGCACTTAGGGAAGCCGAGGCGGGTGGATCATGAGGTCAAGAGATAGAGACCATCCTGGTCAACATGGTGAAACTAAAAATACAAAAAATTAGCTGGGCATGGTGGCGCATGCCTGTAATCCCAGCTACTCAGGAGGCTGAGGCAGGAGAACTGCCTGAACCCAGGAGGCGGAGGTTGTAGTGACCTGAGACAGCGCCATTGCACTCCAGCCTGGGTAACAAGAGCGAAACTCCCGTCTCAAAAAAAAAAAAAAAAAAAAAAATTGTCAGATGAAAAGTAATCTCTGTAATCCCAGCACTTTGGGAGGCCAAGGTAGGTGGATCATGAGGTCAAGAGATTGAGACAGTCATGGCCAACATAGTGAAACTGCGTCTCTACTAAATATAAAAATTAGTTGAGTGTGGTGGTACGCGCCTGTGGTCCCAGCTGCTCAGAAGGCTGAGGCAGGAGAATTGCCTGAACCTGGGAGGTGGAGGTTGCAGTGAGCCAAGATCACTCCACTGCACTCCAGCCTGGTGCCTGGCGAAAGAGCAAGACTGGCAATTATAAAATAATCTTACCTGGCAATTATGAATTATTGCTATTATTACAATATTTATATAATTATTAAATTTGTGGAAAATATTTTGCCTTGACAAATTTCAATCTCAATATGTCTGCTTCTGCTAAGTCAAAAATGACCTCAGAATAACCATTTGCCATCTAATGTCATTTGCCTCACAAGGACAAGTAAGATTATATTTTTAAAAAGCATCTATTCCCATTTGACAAGGAAAATAAAGAGGTGGATTTTTCTGGAATACCCTTGTCCAAATCTCCTTTTATTGTCCTGAAGCCCCAGTATTATTTGTTTAATGAACTTTTCCTATTTGAGGAAAAATTAGGGGAAAGTAACGGTAATTTTACTGTTTTCAAATAAGCCTGATATTTAATCATCTTGTTTCAGATGAGTTCTTGTGGGAAATTTTGTCCAAAATTTGTATCAGCTTGTTATTTTTGTTCAAGCAAATACAATCAAGAGATTATTTCTTATTGAACTCTCCTCAAATGGTATCAAGGGATTATGATTAAATATCATAACTTTAAACCATTTCTCTGTTCCCTGAGAGGTTAGGCAGAATTTATAATGTCTCCTCTTTTTAAACAGATTTGAGTCTGAGCCAAACTTTGTCTCTTACAGACATAAGCTTTGTTGGGTATGGAAGTCCACATTTACTCTGACATATTATAAAATACATAGGCAGAGGGATAAAATGAATTTTGTATTATATTAACTATATCTGATGTTATTTTAAATCAATTTTTTTAAACTAAAAAATACACTTAAATATTTTTACTGATCTCTGATTATGGGTTCTGAAACTTCTGTATGTCCTATATCTGGCACACAACATCAGCCCAAAGAGAAAAAAGCAATCCAGTTAAATAAACCAAAGAAAAAAGATTAAAACTAGATAAAGTCATGTATAGGATTTTCCAGATACTTCTTTTCATGCTGCAACTTCCAGCTCTTAAGACAGTAACACATATTTCCTTTGTCCTGACAACCATTATTATGTCTCCTTCCTTGGGCATAAGAGTAAGTATAGTTATACTTAGGTGACAGTAATGTGTAGTAAAGAGTGGGCCATGCTGACAGTGACCAAATTGTGTTGATCATATTTTAATCCAATACATTGCTCCGCTGCTAACTTGCAAATACATGATGAATTTGCTTTCTAATATATTCCAAGAAGGCCGGAGAACTGGCTTATCCATTTGGATTAATCCACTGGTGAATTTCTTTCAGGAAAGGACTATAATCTTTACATATTTAGATCTTTCAAACTAGACCAAAAAGGAAATCTGGGCTGTAAGGGTCAATTAGAACAGTGACTGCTGGTGGTCCCTGCCCTGTCTTCAGAGATGTGAACCCAGGGCTTGCCGTGATCAACTTATAAAGTGAAGTAAGAACCTCCCCGCAGGCATACATGTGCTTACTGCAGATATGCTGCATGCTAGGTACCCTAAAGACTACAGGAAATAATGAGAATACATGATGTGTGCGTGATAAGGACGCACACAGGCCAGAGCACAGCTCTCGAATCACACAACCCGGGGTTCAAAGCCTGGCTGGGTTACTGTCATATCAATGGCCTGAGAAGTAGCCTAAGGCTTAAATGTTGTTGTTGTTGATGATGATGATTGTTTTGAGATGGAGTCTCCTTCCCTCACCCAGGTTGAAGTGCAGTGAAATGATCTTGGCTGACTGCAACCTCCGCCTTGCAGGTTAAAGCGATTCTGCTGCCTCCGACTCCGTCATAGCTGAGATTACAAGCAGATACCACCACGTCTGGCTAATTTTTGTATTTTTAGTAGAGACGGGGTTTCAGTCATGCTGGTCAGGCTGGTCTCCTCAGGTGATCCACCGCCTCGGCCTCCCAAAGTGCTGGGATTACAAGTGTGAGCCGCCGCGCCCGGCCTTAGACGTTGTTTTAAAACAAATTTGTGAAAATAAGAGGCCCTGCCTGCCAAAAAGGGATGTTGTAGGGCGCAGCATCCAGTCAGGTTAAAGCACCAGGTCCCCTCTTTGGAAACCCTCACGGCCTGGCTGGTGACCCTGGCGCCATAGGGAAGGCACGCCTGGCTCCAGGCGGCACGGAGGCATTGCGGAGGTCCCGGAGGAGCCTGGCAGGATACGGGTTTCCCTGCGTTCCACTTCAAGCAGGAAGCGCTCTCTGTGAACCTAGGGACAGGGCCACTGCGTGCGACAGCGCCGGCCCGGGCCGAGCAGCACGCAGAGCCGGCGCCCAGGCGGGAACTCTGGCGGATGGGACCGCAGCAGTTCCCACGTAGCGGCCAAGCGGCGCAGCAGCCGGCACCTGCCGCCCGGCTTCCGGGCTGGGAGGCCGCAGGGGCCGATGGGACCTTGCCCTTTGCCCTCTGACGCTGCCTTTGGCGCCTACGCCGGCGCGTCCCGGCGCTGTGAGGAGCCTCGTGCAGGCGTCGCAGGCGCCAGGCCAGTCAGCCTCTGCTCGGTCGCCAGAGGAGGCGGTGGCTGAAGAGAGTCGCGTCCGCCGCCGACCCTGTTGTACGGTAGGAGCCACAGCTAGCTCTAAATGGGCAATTTACTTAGTACACTTAGACCCAGGTGCCGTCGCCGGCCCCTGCCGGGCCCAGGGCGTGGCGCCCCCGCTCCTCGGGCCCGGGACGCCTCCCCGCCCGGCCGGGCTCACTCCGCGCCCGCCCCGCGCCCCTTCCGCGGCCTGTTCCGCCGGAATGTCCGTCGCAGGCCTTCACCAGCCAGCGTCTTCGTCGCCCCTGAGAGGCGGTGTCCTCTCCCGAGGACTGCGGCCGCCCCGCTGGGCGTCCTGCCGGCTGCGGGCTGGGGTCCGGCCCCGAGGAGCACACTCGTGCTGCCTGCTCGGAACCCCGCGAGGTGCGGACACCCCGGCTCCGTGAGGATCCCGCCTCCCAGCCGCGCGTTCAGCCTCCTGCTGCCTTCGCTACCTGAGCCGGCGGTCAGGGCCGGGAAGCCCATCCCAGCCGCGCTCCCAGGGGAGACCGAGGTGCGGGCCCAAGAAGGGCCCGGAAGAGTGACGAAGGATGAGGCTTCGGTGCAGCTCGAAGGGCAGGATGGTGAGAGGAGGGCCCCCCTTAGCAGCGGTGAAGCGTCATCCGCATCCGGGTCACAGGGCACCCGGGGAGACCTTGGCCCCTGCGGATGCAGCCCTGAGCCTCTGGAGGGAAATGGACGCCGTAAGTGCTCAGAAAACAACTTGACTGAGAAGGCCCAGGCGTCACCCGCGAGCTCCTGCTTGGGAGGCCGTGCCGCGCCCAGAGCACACAGCCAGGCCAGACATGCCCTGCATCTTGGGCATCCTGATCCCGATGCAGCAGTGCCCCCTGAGCCAGCCCGGGCCTGCTCCCTCCTGCTGCAGAAGTCGACTGCAGAAGCGCTGAAAGAAGCACGACTCTCCAGCTCTCCAGGTTTGCCCAGGCCGCTGATGTCTGGAAACTGGATGCCCGACGGGAAGTCTTCAGGTATTCCACCAAGGAGCGCTGCCCCTCCCAGAGCTGCTCACAACAGGCCCTGCAAAAGGAAAATGTCGATTCCACTGCTGCTGCCGCTGCCCCCTTCACTGCCATTGCTGTGGGATCGAGGTGAGCTTCCCCCACCTGCTAAGCTCCCCTGCCTGTCTGTTGAGGGAGACCTGGGCACCTTGGAGAAGAGCCCCGGATGTAAAAGGAATAGCAGAATCTTGGAGGATGAAACAGAGGGCCATGACAGACAGCAGCGTCACCCAGCCTGCCCCTTCTTTCTCCCCACCAGTGGAGACTACAGACTCCTTGCCCCTGGCCACTTTCACTTCGCAGGTCCCAGCTCCTTCACCCATCCGTGACTTGGCTGACCTGGCTACAAGACCCCCCATCCTTCCTGTCCCTCCTGCTTTCCACCACACGAAAAATGGATCAGAAAATAACATTCACAATCCCTAACTCTCCTCTGGCTCCTCCTGCTGACCTTGTTCCCATTTTGGGGTATCAGTCTAATGAGAAAGGAGGCTCTTGTCATTCAGTCGTAGGTGCAGCACCTCCCGCTTCTAACCCCCCAACACCTCCTAGCCCCACACGCTTGTCCCTCAAGCCTCCCTTCAGATGGGAGTCCCCAGTACCTATCCCTGTAGATTTCCCTCCTCCTCTTTCCTTCCCAACTCCTCTTCCAGTCCCTTCTGCCACGACCTCAGTTATCACCAGCAAGCCTATGAATTCCACATCAGTCATTTCCACTATCACAGAAAACACATCTGCCCGCTTAATCTTACAGACTACAGTAGACCATGAAGCAGTTAACATGGATACTACCACCCCTTCCCAGGCTGTTTTCATATCTTCTCCAAGCTCCAGGGCGAGCTCTCTCCCAATTTCCCAAATACACTGCAGCACAGAGCAGAGGCATCCAGGAAAGACGTCAGTCTACACATCTCCCCTTACGTTTATATTCCACAACACCACTCCAAGTTTTAACCAACTCTTTAGCAAAGAAGGCATCTCTCAACCCAAATCTGGGGCTCTTGATGGTCAGCAGCAGAAAGCTGCTTTCCCCAGTGCCTGTGTTTTTCCAAGCCTTCCTATCATTGCTCCACCAGACAACTCCACTTTAGTGAATAGTGCCTCTGCACCATCATTATCCACGCCTGCTATTGACACCAATGCTATGAATACCACTCCTTCTTCCAAGGCTGCCACCTTGCAGTCTGCCTCTGTCTCCAGGAAGAAGTGCCTCCCATTTTACATGGGGCTTCCTGGTTCTGAGAACACACGGCCCAATGGCAACATTGCCTCAGCCCAAGGCTCCACCAGCTTGCCTGCACAGTCATTCAGAGGACCAACTGCAACTTCCAACTATCCTTTAAATCCAGGAGCCACTGCTCAGCCCAGATTTGGGGCCCCCGAGGGGCAGCAGCAGAAAGCCTCTCTCCCCAGTGCCCAAGTTTTTCCGAGCCTTCCCATCATGGTTCCTCCAGACACCTCCACTTTAGTGAGCAGTGCCTCTGCAGCATCGTCATCCAAGCCTGCCATTGACACCAATGCTATAAATACTACCCCTCCTTCCAAAACTGTCATCTTGCAGTCTACTTTTGTCTCCAGGAAGGAGTACATCCGATTTTATGTTGGGCTTTCTGGTTCTGAAAACACACTACCCAGTGACAGCAATGCCTCAGTCCACGTCTCCACCAGTTTGCCTACACATGCAGACAGGAGACCAGCCACAAATTCCAGCCATCCTTTAAATACAGGAGCCATCTCTCATTCCACACTTGGGGCCACTGATGAGCAGCAAAAATCTGACAGTTCTTTTATTCTGGGGAATCTGGCAACCCCAGCACCAGTTACAGGCTTACCATCTCCTTCTGCAGAGTTAACATCGCCATATTCTGCATTTGGCACACCTATAAATGGCCAGCCAGCCAAGGGTCACAACGCAAGTGCTTTCCCCCATGGCATAGCAAAGACTTCTGAATTTAGAGTTGCCACTGAGATGCCTGTCACTGGGGACAGTACCTCACTGGTTGGAAATACTATTCTAGGCCCACAGGTGATTATGGGACCTGGAACCCCCATGGATGGTGGGAGCATTGGGTTCAGCATGTCTCTCCCAGGTCCCAGTTGCACATCAGGAGAACTCAACACTGGACAACGACAAAATGGGATACCCAGCACCACTTCTGTTCCCCCATTTGGTCAGTTTACCCGGGACTCAGCTGGCCGCAGCATGGCTGCTGCACCGCAAGGCACTAGCAACATTCCTGTATATCCTTCTGCTGCCACCTACATTCCCGGCTTTGAGCCACCTACCCAGCATTCAGGCAGTAGTATGAGAGGCGATGGCACCAAACCCATGGTTGGAGGATCTTGTGTTCCTGCTTTTCAACAGTGCATCCTGCATACATGGACAGAGAAAAAGGTCTACACTTCAAGCACCTACCACTATGGACAACAAACATATATTAGGAGACATGTCTGTTTCCAACTTCCGTAAGAGCACCTGTGGTTCACCTGACCACACCACATCAGTTGTGGTTGTAAACGCCCGCATTATCCCTATGAATGGTTCTTGTTTCACCTTCATGCCAAGTGCCTGCCATGTACCTCTCCAGAACTCAGGTCATGCAAAAGGAGAGGACAACAACATCCCTGTGGTTGGAGGCCCTTATGCTCCCTTTCTCCATCAGTGCACATGGGACCCACCTGGACAAAACACAGGTGGTTCATCTGCAGTGAATGCCAGCATACCTTTAATGGGAGGCCCTTGTGTATCCACCTACCAACAAAGTACCTAAGGTCCACCTGGACAAAACACAGATGGTACATCTTCCAGGATTGTCAGTATTCACTTGATGGGAGGCCTTTATGTGTCCATGTATCAGCAAAGCACCTGGGGCTCACCTGGACAAAGCACAAACTGCGCAGTGAGGGTCAGCAACATAATGGTTGTGACTGGTTTTCCTTATGGTCTCCCATTCACACAAAGCACCTGAGGACCACCTGGCTAAACACAGGTGGTGCAATAGGGGATAGCCCCAGATGTTTGTAGGGAGAAACCTCTAGTTTCCCTTTCAGTAAAAATACTGTGGACCTGCCCAGCCAAGGTGCTCCTTTTGACTTTAGAGGAGCCACATTGTTTTCTTTTGTTTGTTTGCTTTTGTTCTTGTTTTCGAGATGGAGTCTTGCTCCATTGCTCATGCTGGAGTACAGTGGCACAATCTCTGCTCACTGCACCTCCACCTCCCTGGTTCAAGCAGTTCTCCTGTCTTCCCCTCCTGAGTAGCTGGGACTGCAGGCACATGGCACCACACCCAGTTAATTTTTGTATTTTTAGTAGAGAGGAGTTTCATCTTATTGGTCAGGCCGGTCTCAAACTCCTGACCTTAAGTTATCCACCCGCCTCGGCCTCCCCAAGTGCTAGGATTACAGGTGTGAGCCACTGTGCCTGGCCTAGAGCAGCCAGCATTATTAATTAAATACTTGTGTTTGGATGTCCTGGTCAGAGCAACTTTGCCTGTGATAGAAAGCAGCCACTAGTGACATTTGTACCTGCCAAGGCCTTCATAGGAGCAACCAAATCATTTCTTAGTCCTGTCAAGGATTTCAAGAAATAAGAACCAATCTCCTTCCACATACAGTTCTCATAAATGGATGTTGTTCCAGGAAGAATGGGCTCAGTTCCCTCAAGTTGAATTTAACCTTTTCCCTCCCTACAGAAGCTGGAGGCCCAAAACCACAAAGACAGAGAGAGAGAGAGAGAGAGAGAGAGAGAGAGTGTGTGTGTGTGTGTGTGTGTGTGTTTATTGGTGACTGGGGAGCAGATGAGCCCAGTCGGAACTGCACTGTATTTGAGTGGTCTTCTACACTGTGGAGGGTAGAGGAAACCTGTATGTATCATCAGCTGCACCCTCTCTTGACTTGACTGTTAACTTGGCTGATCCTACCTCTGGCCCAGTTCTCTCTAGTCTTGGACAGAAAGGCAAAATTTCTGACTTTGTGGACCCTACATTCTACTTGAAGGGGAGAAAAGAAGGAATGAACATGTAAATCATCTGGTAAATAAGCCAGTAACAAATGTGCTATGGAAAATAAAGAAGTACATGGAGGATTGAGATTGTATATAGAAGCAGGAGTTTTAGAGATGCCTCACTGGGAAGGTAAATTTAAACAAAGTCTAGAGAGAAGCAGTTGAGCCAGATATGTGAGCAAAGATCATTCCAGATAATTGCAAAGGCTCAGAGGAAGGATGCCTGGTGTCCTCAGAAGCAGTTAGTGAGGAAATGTGGCTGGAATGGAGTCAGCAAGTGGGAGGAAGGGATAGAGAAAAGGAGGACAGAGAAGATGTAAGTGAAATTCCTTGCTCCGCTGTTTACTAGTTGTATGATAACGAACAGTTGATTCAACCTTCAAGAGTCTTAGTGAAATCAGTACTTTTACTGTGGCCTGTGTATCTCACAAGATTTTTGAAAGGATGAAGTGAAATAATATAGGGAAATGACTTATAAACCATTGTTGTTATTTGTTATATAGATAGAGATGGATAGATGGATGGATGGATAGACCAGATAGATAGATAGACAGACAGACAGACAGACAGACAGACAGACAGACAGACAGACAGATAGATGGATGGATAGATAGATAGATAGATAGATAGATAGATAGATAGATAGATAGAGTTATGGACTAAATGTTTATGTGCCCCCAAAAGTTCACATTTTGAAGCCCTAACTCCCAATGCGATGGTATTGGGAGGTGGGACTTTGGGGAAGTGATAAGGTTTAGATGAGATCATGAGGATGAAACCCCCCTGACGGGATTTGTGCCTTTATGAGAAGAAACACCAGTGCTTCCTGTAATTGCCATGTGAAGTTGTACCAAGAATGTAGCTGCCTGTAAGAAAGGAAAAGAGGGCTCACAAGAAACAGAATTTGCCTTTATCTTGGACTTCCCAACCTTTAGAATTATAGAAAATAAATGTATCTTGTTGAAGCTATTGGTATATGGCATTTTTGTAGCAATCAGAACTGATTGGTAAAGATAGATTGATAGATATGGAATATACATGCATACGTATAGCTAACGAGTGAGTTCCTTGGGCAATTGTGCCCTGATTACCTTTCCTAGGCAATTCAAATAGAAGAACCCTGTTTTAGGAACATAAAAGTACTTACTTTTATGAAGCAAACACTGTGAAAATACGATAACTGAGACTAAAACGTTTATGAGATTAGGCCTGAAAGAAAACCATTGCAGAGAAAGTACTGGATTCTTCCTGGTAACCTGGGGCCTGATTTACTCACTCTAAGTTGTTTAGTACAGTTCCAGAGAATCAAAGCTCCTGCTTCCTGGCCAGATAATCACCTACCTTTTGTAATCAGAACTGCCTTTCAGAAGCAGGGTGGAAATTCAGTTTTCTTCTAATAGTCTTACACCCTTGCAATGTTACCAGAGACATATTTTTTAAATTCATACTTCCTGACAATTTTTAAAAAGGCCTCAAGCTAAATATAAATACTGTGATCCTGATAAGACAAACTTTTTTCTTGAACTCTTTTCACATAAAAATTTGTTTTCTTGTGTTTTTTTTTTTGTTTTTGTTTTTGTTTTTAATTTTCATATAGTATTGTTTATTTGACTGAATCCCTTCCTTTTCCAGAAAACTTGAGCCTCCTCCACTGGTTCGGGAGTGGTAAGACCAAAATAAGGATATAGTCTCAGAAGAAAGAGGCCTAAAGGAACCACCCACACTGCCTTTAGTTTATGCCAGAAGTGCTCACTAATCACTAATTTTTTTAAAATGTCTAATTCTGGCTGTATCGTCCTAATTTTCTAGATCTGTGGTAAAACCAGAAATCTGGATTTCAGGCAGCACTCTAAGGAAGATGCAGACAGTCCATATTTCCTATTGTTCCAAACACTGCTTCAGGCCTCACGTGACAGCTCACCAAAGTCCTCATTTATCTCATAAGATAAAAAAAAATTTTTGTGTGTAGGATGTGAGTCTAAAGCCCTTGTTAGTAATAAGTGGAGTATTTTCCATACATCTGTATATCATGAACTAGAAAATGGCCTGTGGAAAATTGGAGAATTTCTAACTCGTGGATAGTTGTCTTTCTTGCTCTAAATATCTTCATGTTAGAGGTCTAGAAACTGCCCCCGACTGTGAGAAGCATGCCCAGGCCCTCCCTGAACCAGTCACTGCTGTGATCCCAGAGATATGTGATGCAATGAGGGATTCCCAAACAGCAGTTCATTGTTTTCCTGAGAAAGAGCTGGGAACGGCTCTCTCAGAAGTCCCAGGACAGAAGTGTCATCTTCAGATGTGCCTTCCAGATAGGAAAATTGAGGCTTATAAAATCAAACCATTGATATGTTTTATAGCCATGATCTAAATCCTGGATTTATGCAATGCATGGAATGGGGCATGGGAGATACCAGAAAAGAGAAGCCAAACAAAATCTCTGCTAAAAAATTGTCTTTCTTAGGTAAACAGCACCTTTGCTTTAAATGCAAACTAAGTTGTGTTGACTAATATCAGAGACTTTCTTGGAAGTAGGTTTCATAGGATGGAGGACAAATGAAAGTTTATGGGCAAAGAAAGAAGGGTTGGTGGGGTGGTTGCTTTGAAGTAAGTGGTTCCAAACACAAACTAGGTCAACTTTTTAATTGATTAGCGAAGATTCCTCAGGCTGGGTTAAACAGAGGTTTCCTCACCTGAAACCACCAGGATATGAAAACAAGGAAAATACATGAATAATTCAGGACTCCAACAGGCAGAGTATAATTTATTTAGAGCCTGCAATATGGAGGGCCCTAATGGGAACATGACAGTGTTGAGAGGAGCATATTCTCTTGGGAATGAAGCATTCCTACAGGGAGGGTTGCTGAGATTTCCAAGCATACGTCTTCTATGCAAGTAATTACATTGTCAATCTAAAATATTCTGGTGAGTGGGAGCATTAGTTCAAGATACATGAGATGTAAGCAATCAACAGATCAAAAACATTGATACTTTGTAGGTGTCCTAACTCCAAATTACTAAATGGCTACTGTTTTGCCATCTAAAGCTGCAGGGGTTCTGAGAAGTATTGAAGCCCAATACTATATGAAGAGAATATTAACGCCAGACATTGGTTGCTTAAAAATGAATTTGTCAGGCTGGGCATAGTGTCTCATGCCTATAATCTCAGCACTTTCGGAGTTCAAGGTGGGTGGATCACCTGAGGTCAGGAGGTCAAACCAGCGTGGCCAACATGGCAAAACACCATCTCTATTAAAAATTTAAAAATTAGCCGTGGTGGCATGCACCTGTTATCCTAGCTACTCAGGTGGCTGAGGCATGAGAATAGCTTGAACCTGGGAGGTGGAGTTTGCAGTGAGCTGAGATCACACCACTGCACTCCAGCCTGGGTGACAGAACAAGACTGTCTCAAAAAAAAAAAAAACACCAAAAACTTGTTATCCTTACTTTATTATATTAGATCCTGGTAC